AAAAATAATGACCACCAAGGAGGACCTTCACAAGTTCAACCCAGACAATGAAGAAATAGAAATAATAAAAAAAGTTTCCATCCCTGGGATCAAACATTGATCGAAACAGGGACTGCAGCGAGGAAATCAGAAGAAGACTATGGGGAGGGTGGCTATGAAAAAACTAGAAAAGTTCCTAAAATGCAAAGACATACTGAACTGAGAAGAGAAATGTCTTCAAAATGTAGGCTTGTGACTAACATCGTCATTTTTTCCTTTTCCCTTCCCCCCTTTTTCCCCTCCTGTATGATTTTTAATGCCTTTGCCTGATGAAGGAGGAGCCAGTGGAGCTTTGAAAACTTGCATTAGATATATTGTGCATTTTACTTGGCCCAATAAAAAATATCTCTCTTTTGTGGATTTTGGATGTTACTATAAAGTCAGCCAGCCCTCCACATTTGCGGCTTTGACTTTTGTGGATTTGATTTATTTGCAGATACAATGAATATGTTCTTTCTAGGAATTTCTAGGTTCTCCTGCGCAGCTCCGCCAGACATTGACCATAGAGTTGCACTGAAGGATTACCATAGAAAACACTTCTCTAGGCATTTGTGGGTCCTCCAGCATGATTCTCTGGTCACCTTCTGGCGGAGAGATGTTGACCACAGAGTTGCATGGGAGGATCTAGAGATTCCTAGAGAGGTGTTTTCTTGGGTGTAAAAAACAGTGGTATTTTATTTGCAGTTTTCCCACTTTTACGGGGATCCTGTGCCCCTAACCCCAGTGAATGTGGAGGGACCACTGTACTTATTTTTTTTATTAATTTTATAATTTTTATTGAATTAAAATACATATAGGTCAACACAAACACAAACATCGTTAACAACATCGCAGACAACAAAAACACTAACAATTAAGACGTAACAAATAACTTCCTGATTTCTTGAGATCGTTAACATTTGTTTGTCTCATCGTACTTTCTACATAGTTAAGACTATATATAGAAAGTACACTGTCCTTATTTTTAAGGAATGCAGCTCTGCTTAAACAGGACACGGTGCCGCTGGTGATGCAGAAAAGTGGATCAACCAGACGGATGCAATGGACCTGGTCTCAACCCGTGATGTCCACCACATATTGTAGAAACAATGTGCAATGCACCACCCCACACCGATGCTGCGGTCACTCCTTCCTTCTCTTGCATCACCTCTTCTCCTATCCCTATCTTGCTCTGCAAGGCACTTCCCAACCTCTTGGCAATATCCTTGATTGCATACCCTGAAGCCATGCCATTAGAATCATAGAATCATAGAATCATAGAGTTGGAAGAGACCGCA